TCCGCACTGTACACCATAAACAGATTAGATGTCACTCGTAGACAGTAACTTCCTTATGCTAAAGATGCTGAAATAAATTCCCTATATAGGAATTCCTAGCGCACAATGAAAGATCGACTGTTAATTTTGTGTATGAAGAACTAACGCTTATTTTATTACTTGTTTTGTGTGTAGAATAGAATTGTACATTTTATTGTTATTATTATTGCTTCTAATAAAGCAGACAATACACTGTTATCAATTTATTAATTCGTCAACTTATTAAAAATTCACGTAAACAAGTGTTTGCCGACGACATCAAATTGTCAACTTATTATAAATTCACGTAAACAAGTGTTTGTCGACGACACCTAAATGTCAACTTATTATAAATTCACGTAAACAAGTGTTTGCCGACGACACCTAATTGGCAACTTATTATAAATTCACGTAAACAAGTGTTTGCCGACAACACCTAGTTGTCAACTTATTATAAATTCACGTAAACAAGTGTTTGCCGACAACACCTAGTTGTCAACTTGTTATAAATTCACGTAAACAAGTGTTTGTCGACGACACCTAAATGTCAACTTATTATAAATTCACGTAAACAAGTGTTTGCCGACGACACCTAAATGGCAACTTATTATAAATTCACGTAAACAAGTGTTTGCCGACGACACCTAATTGGCAACTTATTATAAATTCACGTAAACAAGTGTTTGCCGACAACACCTAGTTGTCAACTTATTATAAATTCATGCGGTACGCAGTTCCCAAAGTATAGAAACACTATTACGCCCGCGTTCTACAAATATTCACTGCTATAATTATAATAACAATGGGATCATATAACGCCGTCATTCATAAAATCGTAACTACGCAACTTTGATAAAACGCTGGATCGGCGGTACACAGTTTCCAAAGTAAAATACCGTTACGTCCACAGTCTACAAACATTCACAGCCATAATTATGTCAACTTATTAATTCATCTCATTGTAAACTTATTATAAATTCACGTAAACAGGTGTTTGCCGACAACACCTCGTTATCAACTTATTAATTCATCAATTTATTATAAATTCACGTAAACAACTGTTTGCCGACGACACCTCGTTATCAACTTATTAATTCATCAACTTATTATAAATTCACGACAAGTGTTCGCTGACGACACCTCGTATCAACTTATTAATTCATCAATTTATTATAAATTCACGTAAACAAGTGTTTGCCGACAACACCTCGTTATCAACTTATTAATTCATCAATTTATTATAAATTCACGTAAACAACTGTTTGCCGACGACACCTCGTTATCAACTTATTAATTCATCAACTTATTTTAAATTCACGTAAACAACTGTTTGCCGACGACTGGTGATTGTCAAAATCACTGCAAAAATAACAAATAATAATTGTGTGGGGGCATTTGTCTTACGGGACAGTTTGTCTGGGGGCGATTGTCCGGGGGGCGGTTGTCCTAGACCCAAACGATTTGTGGGAAAAGTCTTCGATTTGCATGTTATCTTTGATTGCTTTGTGGGTATGAGTTTGTATTTTATTATCTTTAAATATTCACACCCCTCTAGATTTCCAAATGGCCGACCATGGACGATGTATATTTGTGTGCCAGTCTCCAGTTTTAAAATAAGTAAATGCCATAAGGCAAATAACTCAAGTTGGTATGCCTCGTTCTTGATATTGCCCGGTTCAACGAACTCGGCGACGCAGGTGATGCAGTTGTAGACGCAATATTCGCATTTTGCATTTTTTCTTTCAAGCCCACCTGCTTTTCCCTTGGTACCATTTAAGCTTACTATCTGGAATGGGCTGTCAAATATCCACAGTTTGTCTGAAAAGGGGTAGGCCATTTGAGTTTATTTCTGTCTGATTATGAGTAGGGTTTAAAACAACCTGCTATGCACCTCTGTCAGTATTTTTTGCAAGTACCCCCCCCCCCGAATAATATCACGCTCTTGACTTTCATTGCGCTATCTAGCCTGAAGTTTAAACATTGTGACGCATGAATTGGTCTCTGAATATAACGCCTTTAGTTAAGCCTTAAGTGCATGCTTGTCTCACCATGAAGATTAATCTGTCCACAGACTGCCATCATAAGAGTGTATCAAAGGCAGGTAACTCAAGTTGATATGCCTCGTTCTGGATATTTCCCAGTTCAACGAACTCGGCGACGCAGGTGATGCAGTTGTAGACGTAATATTCGCAGCCCAAAATAGCGTTGAAATTGTTGTACGATCCTGTTGTAAAAATCTAACTGTTTTAATCCGATTAAGAACGGGTAGTTTCGTAAATCAAGATTCATTTCGGATAATGTCCGTTATTCCGTGTGAAACCACCCCATTTTGAAAATGCGAACCACTATCGCCAGACTACTTTTATTGTTAAAAGACAGACCACGAGATCAACATACGGTATTGCCGCAATAACTGGTCGTTTAC